ATTATATGGAAATGTTTCCAAGTATTTTCTGTATTAACTGTGAATGAATAGAACAAAATAAATTGCCTGTGATGGAAAAATAAATAAATAAATAAATACTTAAAAAAAAAAAAAAAAACAGCTTTAAGCTCATGATGCCATAAGACTTTTTGTATCTTATTCCACAGATGAGAGTTGAGGCCTGGAAAAGATACGCCCTTAGCCTACCCTTGGCATAATCAATAGGAAGACATAGGTGTGACGTTCTGTCTCTCCTCTGCACCAGTCAGTCCTCTCAGTTATGACAAGTGGTACTTGTTAGATTACGAAAGGAAATTTATTTCTGTTGTGTAACTACAGGGGGACAGGCAAGAGCGACTTGGACAGGCACTGTTAGATTGCTCCCAGGCAGGGATCAATTAGAAGCCCTGCAAAACCAGAGCCAGTGGTGGGTGAGGTTGAGAGAATCTAAGTGCTGTGTGGTCCAGGGGGGTGCTCGGCGAGAGACAGGCTGTATAGTGTGTGTCTGCTCTTGCCCCACTTTAGACAGGCTCTGTGACCCGGGCCTGACCAGCATGAGAAGCCTGATGTTAAAGACTGACTTGCCACGTGTGTGGCAACCATGTGGCCCTGGCTTACTACACAGGTCTTTCCAATAGCTCACATTTATGGATGGTTAGCATCTTAGACGTCTACTTGACTAAACAAATATTGTTTCAAGCTCATCCCCAACCCATTTCCCTCCTTTTGAACATGATCTGTCTCTTTGTTGATATTTAATCTGACCTTACATCCAAAGTTCTTTGGCCTAGGAATAGGCCAAGCTTTCCCATGTAGTCCCACTATTGATACACATAATTTTTGTTGTTGTTGTTTGTTTTTGTTTTTGTTTTTCAAGACAGGTTTTCTCTGTGTAGCTTTGCGTCTTTTCCTGCCTCAAACTCACAAAGATCCGCCTGCCTCTGCTGGGATTAAAGGTGTGTGCCACCACTGCCCGGTCAATACACATAAATTTTAAGTAAGTAAATGTTCAAAAGCACATTAGATCATTTGCTTAGAACACATAAAAATAGCTATAAGACTTATATCATTTCTGAGCACTTATTTAGTTCAAGCTCAGAGTAGATGGCACATGTTGAAACTTTTAAGGGGTAAATAATGAGGGTTTTGGAGTTGGCAAGCATTGGACAATACACACAACTCTCATGATGCTTCTCTCATCTCTTCCATTTTTCTTACCACCTTCAGACAAGAGTCTTTTCATTCTATGAGGGGAAGCTCTGCCTGTATCTCAGCCTCCAGAAATCTTTGTTGCTATCCTAAGTAGCTTATTGAGAAGTATCTTTTGAAGCAAATACCGTATTCTCACTAGGAATTCCTTACAATATGTTTTATTTTAGTCCAAAGCACCAAAGACTATACTTTCAGGAATTATTTCTATAGTTCATTATTCCAAAGCACCTTTAAATGAACTGAAAATGTAAAGTTTTACCTTCTAGGGATTGAATATTACCGAGTGTGGCAGTTTGAATGTAACTGGCTCCCATAAGCTCATAAGGAGTGGCACTATTAGGAGGTGTGGCTTTGTTGGAGTAGGTGTGGCCTTGTTGGAGGAAGTGTGTCACTGTGGAGGTGGGCTTTGAGGTCTCATATATGCTCAAGCCATGCCCATTATCTCAGTTCACTTCCTGTTGCCTTTGGATCAAGATGTAGCCAGCACCATGTCTACCTGCATGCCCCATGTCTGGCCATGATGATAATGAACTAAACCTATGAATCTGTAAGCCAGCCCCAATTAAATGTTCTCCTTATAAGAGTTGCTGTGGTCATGGTATCTCTTTGCAACAATAGAAACCCTAGTTAAGACCCCCAAGTATGTTTACTACCATCAGATAAAAACCTAACATTTTAGTCATTGATCAAAGACGCAGGCTGGCTCTGGAGGAATTTCAAAAGAAGAAAATTATAGCACAGGGAGCATTTTGCCTTGCTGTGACTCCTGTTGGTTTAGGTTTTCTCCTCATCAGTGCTTTCCTCTGCCGATGACTTGACCTCAACGTCTCCTGCATTTCAAATTATGAGGTGGATGGAAAATGCAGTGTTCCTCATACTGTGCAAACACAGAGCTGATCACAGAGCCTTCCAGTGTTTCCTGGGACAAAGGGTCAAGGGTGAAAATAAAGAGATTTGACAGGGTGGATATTTATGCTGTCACAATGTTTTTTGATAGTTTTTTTTACAGGCCTAACTACATGGCCTTGGCCACTCCGTCTCTGTATCTCCCAGGCCCTAATACTTCTGTTTCTTCCCAAAATTTGAAGATACTGTCCTGTTGTTTGAATCTTAGATGGTCTTATAAAAAAAAAATAAAATAAAATAAAAAAAAATAAAAAATAAAAAACAGAGCCAGATATCAGGGTAAAGGCTGAACAATCAGAGAAGCAGAGCAAGCTACAGCCAACCTCACCTCACCAACTCCTCAGCCAATCCTGTTTCCTCAGACTGGAAGCCTCTGAGTCCTCACTCGAAAGGATCTCAACTGAACTGCTTTAGTTAGTTCCTGTTTCCTCATGCCTTACATACCTTTCTATGTCCAGCCATGTCACTTCCTGGGATTAAAGGCTTGTGTGCTTCTCAGTACTGGGATTAAAGGCATGTGCCACCACTGCCTGGCTCTGTTTCTAGTGTGGCCTTGAACTCACAGAGATCCAGATGGAGCTCTGCCTCCCGAGTGACAGGATTAAGGGTGTGTACCACCACTGTCTGGTCTCTGTGTCTAATCTAGTGGCTGGCTCTGTCCTCCCATCTCCAGGCAAGTTTATTAGGGTACACAATATATCACCACACTATGCTGAAATGTTCAAAAGCACTCAGCACACTATTTTTTCCACTGTTGTTGCTAATGTGCAGACAGTACACCTGTCTTGAGAGGGATGAGCATAACGTTGGCAGGGAATTGAAAGAATGGACGAATCACACTCATGAGTGTGATAACAGCTCCCTCACCACACTCACAGATTCATCTAAAATTCATTACTGTGCTGCTGCAGAGAGAACTGGAGGGACATGCAATAACTGGAACATCACATATTGCTCATCCCCTCGCAGGGAGGTAACTGGGAAACCAAGCGAAATGTAATGAGAGCTTTGACAGCAAGATTAAGACAGGAGACTGTCCACTCTTACTGGGTGGACAAAGAAAAGCCTGCTGGGCTTTGAACTTCAGTGATGCTCGCAACTGCAGATGTCATGGGAAATGGCTTTTCTTGTTAAGAGTTTGAGCAAAGGCATGGAGATGGAAGTGTGGGGGATTCAGGTGGAGCTCAGAGAATAGAAGGGCTTGGAACACAGCGGCATTGCTCTCTATAGGAAGCAACTGTGTTAGAGAGCCACCGACCAGGCCTGGCCCCTTTTCATTGCCTGCAAAGCGCTTATCGCAGCTGGTAACTATGGGCTCATGAACTTGCATGTTATCCAATCTCTCTGCATGCGAATGGATTTCTGACATAATTTAATTATATTCTTATGGAATTACACGTTATCTGCTGTTACCTGAGCTGTTGGGGTCAGAGCCTGTGCCCTGTCAGCCTTAACAAACTAGGCTTGGCCACTCACCCTCCATAAGCCAATTAAAGAAACAAGGAATAGTGAAAGGCAGAGGAAGAAGATTCATTCAATGTGACCAAAATGGGAAGAAAACAAAGACGTGATTGACTCATAGGTCCAACTTTAGGAGTCTTGACATGGGATGCAGGTTTAAACAGAGGGCAAAAGGTATGCATAGATAAGCAGTCCTGGTTAAGGTGTGGTCCTGCCCATCAACGACATACCAGCTCCAGTCTGTCCTGCACCACTGTCATCAATCACAAAAGACAACCTTCCCCTCCTGTTGGCACCAGGGCCCCAGCTTTTCCCTTCCCAAGCATGAGACTCCTAGGGAAATTCCAGTTCCTTGGGGTCAACTGTCTCAGTAATCTGATAGGCCAGGGGAAGACACAGTGTCTCTCTTTAGGACTTTTTCCCATCTGGCTGGGGATATAGATTAGTTAGGGGAAAACTTGCCTAGCATACACAGCATGCATGAGGCCCTGGTTAGACACCCGTGGTAGTTTGAATGTGATTGGCTTCCATAATCTCATAGGGACTGGCACTATTAGGAGGTGTGACTTTGTGGGAGTGGGTGTGGCCTTGTTGGAGAAAGTATGTCACTGTGGGGGTGGGCTTTGAGGTCTCCTATGCTCAGGATACGCAGAGTGCCTCAGTCGACTTCCTGTTCCCTGCAAAACAAGATGCACCATGTCTGCCTGCATGCCACTGTGTGCCACCATGATGATAATGGATTGGACCTCTGAAATGGCAAGTGAGCCTCCCCAGTTAAATGTTTTCTTTATAAGAGTTGTGGTCATGGTGTCTCTTCACAGTAATAGAAACACTAAGACAATACTCTATATTCCATAAACTGGGTATCATTGTATATACCTGTAATCCTAGTATGTGGAGGTTAAAGCAGGAAGATCAAAAACCCATGGTCATCTTTGATACATAGAGAGTTCAAGGCCAACCTGGGCTACATGTGATACTTTCTCACCAAAACCAAAATGTAACAAAACACATCTTTGCTCCTACCAGAATGGTCACTGCTACTCACACTGCTTTTCACTGTGTGACACGTCCTTATATTAAAGAAAGAGGGATATTTCAGTTGGAGGGGCTAAAATTGTATTGTATTTCTATATAATTTTGCCATTTATTCCATTTTACTTTTAGAGATATTGTCTGGAAAATATCACCATTCCTGATGAGTCAGTTCCTGATAGTTTCCATGGAAACATCATTTTTTAAAGGGCTTTGCATGAGTAAGTGAATAATATCTCTTTTGGCTGGTTTTCCTTGTGCAGGGTCAACACTGAGGCTACACTTAACTTTTGTTCACAGAAACAAAAGGAAGTGACAGTTTTGCTGTGTACCTCTTAGACGTGCTAGAGCAATAACAATTACTCAATCTATGACATTTACAAATTTAGCTGAAGTGAAATTCTTTTCAGTTTGAAAAACTAAGAGAAAATTTTGACTGCCCTCTGAAATTGTATGATTCTGATTTAATGATTGTACAATACCATTGCAGTTGAGCTATGGAGTCTTGGTTGAACTTTTCAAAAATAACTGGAGCCCTTTGTCCCAGCCTTTTTATCTGTAACAGGAGGTCTATAATCCAAGCTCATGGAAGAATGGTTTAATAACTTCAGAGAGGGAGAGCATTTTGTACTCACCTGACTTGAAAAACTATACTAGCCATAGTAAAACAGGAAATTATCTATGAAAGATGATTCTACTAAAAATAGGTAGAATTATCACCCCAGCACCCAGCATCTATCTGCCCTGATTTTGCTGTGAATATGTTGACATTTGGGAATAAAGCCATATCTTCATCAAGCAGCAGGAGTGCATTTGATACTTAATTGTGCAACACATTTTAAACAACCATTTTTATTGCTGGTAAGTATTAGCTAGAAGTGAAACTAAGGAAGTTATTGATTGTACCTATGTCTATGTGACTTTTTGAAATTAGGCATGCAAACCTGGAAAATGCCCACTTTTTTTCCTAAGAGAAAGAGTAAATAAATGTTTGATGGAAAACGTTTCTACGACATTAAATGAGAAAAGGGATAGTTACACAGTGTAAAGGCAGTTTGGTATTACTAGATCCGAGCAGCCAACAGCCTCAGCAAGCCAGACTAGAGGATACTTTCTGCTGATTGGTTGAAAAGTTGCCTTCTTAGAGAATGTTTAGCCATTGAAGTAAGAAGAATGAAAAACTCAGGATAAGGCTTCCGGGCCCTGTTAGTTACTTATTTCATAACTACGACAAATACCCAACCGAAGCAGCTTGAGTAAGGAAACGTTTATTTTCACTCATGGTTTGAGGGGATACAGTCCATCACAGCGGGGGAAGTCATGGCAGCAGGGCTTCCTGCTGACATCCCGGAACAGGAAGTGGAGACAGGGGGACTCTGGTGCTCACCTGGCTTTCTCTTTCCCCTCTGTCTATTCCATTCAGGACAGCAGCCTATGGGATGGTACCACCCACAGTCAGGGCGGGTCTTACCTTCCTGTCCTCCTCTCTGGAAACCCCCTCACAGACACACCCAGATGTGTGCCTCACTGAGGCTCTTGGCATTTCTTAACCCAATCACGTTGTCCATCGACATGAATCACCATAGGGACACAGACTAAGTTACCTAGAAGACAAGATGCAAACTCAAAGACTCTGAGCTACCTGGAGTCAGGAACCAGCTAAAGGTTCTGGTTGACAGGCAGAGTGTCCAGTCAACCAGATGTTGAAATAGCTTGCTAAATGTAGTCCCAGGTCCCTGGCTCTTCCTCAAAGAGGAAATGCCCTACCAGTCCCCACCTGTGTATAGTTCTGGTCTGTTCCAGCGAGTGCCTTTCTTCCACTGTGGAGTGGGAAACAGTCATCCTGGTGTCCACTCTTATAGCTATAGGGACAGCAGCCAGGATTAGACAAGTGAACACTGTTCCCTGGGACAGCCAACTGGGGTGGTCCCTAGAGACAGGGACACGAGGCTTTGATAGTGACAATCTCCTGGTGAGTCTTCTTGATGCAAGACTCTTGTATTCTCTCCTCTTTGCACTGCCAGTCTGTTTTGTTTTTTCGAGGGTTTCTCTGTGTAGCGCTGGCTGTCCTAGAACTCACTCTGTAGACCAGGCTGGCCTTGAACTCGGAGATCCATCTGCCTCTGCCTCCCAAGTGCTGGGATTAAAGGTGTGTGCCGCTTTTTCAGTACTGTATGGCTCCCAACTTTTATTCTCTTACCTTCTTATAGATTCTGAGCACCACTAAGGTCCTTTTAGCGAATACCCATCCCCTTGAGATAATCAGATCCTGATTCTACTGCTTACAGCAAGAACTCGTGGACGTCATGGTCACACTGACTTCCCACAGGCATCAGATGTTAACAGATGTTGAAGAATCTGCCTCCTGGACTTCGCATGTCTGTGCCTGCTTCTGCCACTAACTGTCACCCCACTTCTCACCAGGACGAGCAAGATGACAAGAAACGCTGCCTGTGTGCACTTCGTACGTTCATCCTCCAGTTCACAGCTGTCTATGCCAGGTTTGGTTGGCTGAGATATCTGAGGAGAGAGTCCATTGTAAAAAAACAATCATAACCCAGTTTTGGGAGCGAACACTACAACCAGCACCTCTCCAGTGGTGTTAAGAGTGTTATCTGAGAAGAAGCGGTGAGGTCAATCCCAGGGCTGGTGCTTTCCAGAGGAGTGGGTCACCCATGCAACCTCTGATCAGCCACCTTCAGGGGACACAGACATGACTATCCTGGGCAAATCACCTCTCTAGAGAACTGTCACATGATCCCCAGAGTGTGATCCTTGGTGAGTGAAGCAGCTGTGACCATGCCTATCTACATCTGTCAAGATAAAGTCCGCAGTGCCCTTCACAACGGTACTTCGACTTTCCTATCTTTCATGACCCTCCCTCATGTTATCCCCAAATGCAGCCATGCTTGTCTGGGGGAGTTAGGCTCCCTATGAATGCCCTTCTTTCTGAGCAGGAATGTCATCAAATAGTTTGTTTTCAGAATTAGAAATAAAGACTGTTTAGAAAAGTGAAACTGATTTCCAAAGAGCACATGTATTTTTTTAAGTTTCTTGCATCTTATTTTTTAATTCAAATCTGAGAAACAAAAATATTTTTATTATGTCTTTTCTTATTTGGCTCTATGTTTTTAATGTCTGAATTGTTATGTCTTACTTTGGGGAAATTTTAGGTATTGGCTTCTAACCATTTAAAAATAAATATTTAGCTATTTTGTACACACACACACACACACACACACACACACACACACACACACCCTAATCTTCCTGATTGGATACAACATTTTGTTAGCTCAATATTTTATTTTGATTATAAATGTTGGTCAATGAAAGTTCATGTAGTTACTTTGACTAAAACCTCTGTTACAATTTATTGTATATATCTCACCCAGCATCACTAGGAGCTCTCATAGGAAATACCTTCAAGGCCTAGATTTGTACCATTTGTTTGAAGCAATTTTCCTTTTATTATCATGTTCTTTAAGACATTTCAAGTCTTGGATCGATGAGCTGACTCAATGGCATAAGATACCTTCGATCCTCGGGGCCCACATAGAAAATTAATTCTGACCTCTCCACAGGCATACACACATGTGTGTACATATTCACACTAAATAAATAAACAGAATAAAATAGAAAGTTTTTCAGAACCCAATATTATCTCATAGCCAAAATCAGCTCCAATATTTTTAGCACAAAAGTACACTTATATGATACCAAGATATACATTTGGTACATATTACTTACTGCATAAATATTATTCAAAAACTAGTGATTTAAACTCTATATAATGGTTTCTATTGATCAGGAATCTAGGTGTCATTTAGCTGGGTCTTCTGATTTAGGTCTGAGGATAGCCAATTATGGTATCTGAGGGGATTCTATCTCGCAAAAAAAAAAAAAAAAAAAAAAAAAAAGCCTTATCCAGCTTCATTCACTTGATTCTCGGCAGAATTCAGTTCTCTGAAGGCTTTTCGGTTTGCAGTTTTCTTGGTTTTTCATCGCTGTTAGCTTAAAGACACCCAGAGTTCTTTGACATGTGCCCCGTCTCCCAGTAAGACAGCTGTGGCAGCTTGCTTTGTCAGGGGGAACAAGTAAAAAGGGTCAGAGAGTCCCTACATCACCCTCTTTCATAACCTAACCTGGGAAATGGCATGTCTTCACCCTTTTCAGAGGTGATTAATTATGAGCAAGTCTCCTGGCTCAAGTCACATTAAAGGAAGTAAAATTACATAAGGATATAAATACAAAGAGCCCGGATCACTGGGACTCACTTTAGAACTTGCTCTCCATCATGAGTACCCACAGAACTTTATAAAAAGGCCTTTGTGCGTACTTATTATTTTCAAGTTAATATTTTTCAAAGTGTATTAATGTGCTAGTCATTTTTCTAAGTACTGTGCATATATTAACACATTTGATTCTCATAATAGCCCTAGGAGGAAAGAAAGTGCTATCTATTATCACCTCTATTTTACATATGAATAACGCAAGATTTTAAATTTAAGCAATTTACATTTAAAAGCTCAAATACCCTGCTGAGTGCTTGCAGCAGCACTCAGTTAAACTAGCCGCAAAACCCTGCAGTCGGCTCTAGAGTGGACTCTGTCACCACACCTTCTTATTTAAAAATAGGTATACAAATAGTTGTAGCTGGGTCTGGACATCATGAAGTGCCTGTTAACTGAAACATTTCAGAGCGATCTTATTCCTTCTGACCTTCTCATGGTGATGCTGTAAAAGAGACAAAATTATAAATATCTCTCTGCTGACTCTACATTTTCATCAACATTCTCTTCCTGGGAAAAGTTATGACTGGAGAGATTTGAGTCGCATAAGTTACTACATGGAACGTTGCTTTATCATATTGTACCATAAATATTGACTCATATTATTCTCAAAAACATACCATTAATGCCTATACTTGAGCCTCATTTCGGCATTCCTTGCTATGAAAGCCTTAAAGATGCTTTTTATTTTTATCCTCCTGAGACCATAGAGCCCTTCTGAGTGCTAGAAACATCTGGGTAGGATTCTATAAAGTCAAGTTTTGCTTTGTGGCATTAGAAATTCCGGAGGACAGGTAATGTTTTGGCGTGCCTTGATTGGCCACTGTCAGGCCCAATGGCAGCTAGATGCTCTTCCCTCCCATCCTTTTAAAATGCCTACAAAAGCGGGGCAAGGTGGCGCACGCCTTTGATCCCAGCACTCCAGAGGCAGAGGTAGGTGGATCTCTGCAAGTTCAAGGCCAGCCTGGTCTACATAGTGAGCTCCAGGCCAGCCAGTGCTACATAGAGAGACACTGTCTCAAAACCAAATTGAAAAAAAGAAATAAAACAAAACAAAATAAAATAAAATGTCTATGGAAATGGAAGACTTATTATAAAATTAGGGGCACATAACAATAGTTATGAAACCACTTTCCACATAAGACGCTTTGAAAAATTTCTGTGAGTTTAATGAGATTCAAATGTATTTTATAATATTAATTTCATTCATAAATACTTAATAACATTAAACGTTTAAGGAGACAATAACTTAACAATATTACAGTATTGTTAGTACAGTATAATTTAAAAAATATTCTTCCATATTTTAGCATAGATTTATGGCTTATTTTTATTATTTACATAAGTAAAACAAAATTATATAAATGTATAAGACACAATGTGTGTTTACTTAGTCACCTGTAGGCAGATATGTGTTTCTAGTTTCTGGCTGTTAAGATGTTATTGACAATATCATATGTGTGTGTGTGTGTGTGTATGTGTGCGCGCGTGTGCGTGTGTGCATGCTCATAGATTGTGTGTGTGCTCATAGATGCCTTTGCCCTGATTTAACAGAAATCCATGTGTAGCTTTGAATCAGATGACAAAAATGAACGCTCGTCTTGGTGGGCAGCTGTCAAACTGACCGAGGCTGACAGGGCTGACCACCACCGTGAGGCCGGCACTCACACCTTCACTATCAGCACTGACACATTCCAGTTGCTCTAATCCAGCTTGGCTTTATCGGCAGTGCTTGGCTTTATCAGGCTATTAATGTCTCATTTTCACTATTCTAGGAAGTGTAAAGTGGTGCCATCCTGTGATTGTAACTTGTGTTTCTCTCATGGTAAATGATATTGAGCCCTTTTCAAGTGAAAACTGACCATGGTACACCTTCTCCATGAATTGTTTTTGGATTTGAAATATTTGAAAATAGTTTTGAAATACTTTTTAAAGAGTCAGTCCACTTCAGAATGCGTACAGTTAAGTAAAGTTCAGTATTTGGTAACATTTACTTTGCCATTAGACTATTGGAAGATGGCAGGTATGTGGTAAGCAAGATTACCGAAAGAGCATCATCTTTGGAGTCAGCCTACACACTTTCCTGTAAATTCTTTGACTTTTTGAAAGTCCGGAGGTTGTTGCAGACGTCCATGCTAGCTTAGCAATCATCAGACTCCTTCCAGCTTCTGCTTTGCTGCCAGGAACCATAATCCTTGTTCTCATGACCGAGTATCAGCTCTCCAGGCACCGGCCCATGTTCCCAGGATCAGTATACAAGCAGGCAAAAAGGCACTTGAGCATTTCCAGGTGGTTTACCAAAAATACTATACAGTAAGGGGAAAAAAAGAACTAGAAAAATACGTGTACTTCAAATTTAAGTACCTAGCTATTCAATTTTAAGTCAACCATTAGCTTTTCATGAAAAAAATTGATATTTGTTTCTATTTAATTTTTGTCCTTTCTTTGCTTTGGCATCACGGCTGTCTTTCCTCAACATATTCAAGAAACTTAGGAAAAGTTCACCAACTAAAAGGCCTTATGTGGAGAGTCTGTGTCTTTCCTTTTTCATTTGAGAATTCCATATATATTACAATGTGTTTTCATTACATCCACCCAACTCACGCCTCTCACACCCCAACACTTTACCCGCCTATTTTGTAATTCAGCATTATGGCATCCCAGAGCTCCATTATGCCATCACAGAGCCACATTATGACATCAAAAGGTCCATTGTGACATCACAGTGCTCTATTGTGTAATCACAGCGCTCCATTGTTTTATCACATTGCTGAATTATGACATCACAATTCAGAACCGAGCCATCACAGAGCCACATTGTGACATCACAATGTCCCATTGTCACATCAAAATGCTATATTATGATATTACAATCCCCTACTGTGACATCACGATGCTCCATTATGGAATTACAAAGATTAATTCTGACATCACAATCAGCCAGTGTAACATCATTCAGTGAGTAGTGACATCACAATGCTCTATTTGCCATCACAATTCCCAGCTGTAAAGCCACAATGTTCCACCGTGCCTTCATAATGGCACATTGTGAAACTGTAATGTTGTTTTACCATCACAATGTTTCATTGTGACATCACAAAATGAAATTGTAACACCACAGTGAACTACTGTGACATCAAAATATTATGTGGTATGATCTCAATGGTTTAAATGTGTCATCACCAAGCTCCATTTTGATATGACAAAGCTGCACTGTGACATCACAGTGCTCGATTGTGACATCATAATGCTTTGTTGGAACATTACCATGTTTCATTACAATATCCCTGTGCACTATCTTGACACGACAGTGTTGAAGTATGACATCACAATGTCTATTGTGGTAGCAGGATTCTACTATGATGTCACAGAACTGAATTTTGACATGACAATGCACAACTGTGCCACCACAATGGGAACTGTGGCATCACAGTGCTCCATTGTTCTATCACAATGCCCCACACTGACATTACAAAGTTCCACAGTGGGCAGTCATGGTGATTTATCATGCACCATCAGGATGTTGGGTAGACGGTTCCATCCCGATGCTGATTAGTGTCCTTAAAATGCTGACTCTTGTCACCACATGGTTGGTCATCCCCTCTCAGTGCTGTACTATGATACCACAATGCTCCATTGTGCCATCAGATTATAACGCCCAGTTCTGG